AAACCCCGCCCCCTATGGGCGGAGTCCGGTCCTGCCACCCACGATATGTGTTTCCATCCTGCCGAGTGTGCTCCTGCCAAGTTTGAACGCCCTAGGCCAAATTGGCAATTTTAGCGCCAACCTCGCCCTCTGTGGCCCGGCCCTGCCACCCACCACTAATGTTCCAACCCTGCCTCGGGTACTCTTAACAAATGCGAATTTTCTTGGTCCACTGAGACAGGATTCATTATTTTCCACTGAAACATTTTGTTCGCACAAACCCCGCCCCCTATGGGCGGAGTCCGGTCCTGCCACCCACGATATGTGTTTCCATCCTTACGAGTGTGCTCCTACCAAATTTGAACGTCCTAGGTCCACGGAGACAGAAGTTATGAATTTCCGTACAAACAGACAGACAGACAGACGGACAGACAGACGGACAGACAGACGCGAGCGCTTTATATAAAGTAAGGATATTCACTGCTATTCGGTTCGCCCAGCTAGCGTCGGGTTTCCCTCCTTTTCAATAAAGTTGTAGTAATCGGTTAACTCTCTGCTTTTTCTTTGAAACAAATAAAATCTATCTGTACAAAAAGATTGACACAGGACTAACAGAGCAGTGCATATGGTATTTCGTATGGTATATTGGTTACAGGCATCTTTGCTTGGAAGTGTCGATCTTTTGCTCTCTTTCATAAGGTGAATACCCATAAGAACTTCAACCGATAGACAACTCAAGCTTGGGGCAGAACCCACAAATGTTTCGTGAGGTGAGAACATCATTATCAGATGTGATTAATGAGCTTTACTCTTTACAGACATATCATTAGTTAAGAGTAACAGATAAATGGCGGTCGGATAAGTTAGCAAATGATATCGAGCAATGAGGATCCTCCATTGGGTCTCAAACCTTGGTGGATAGCGGTCGTAATCTAATAGCAAGAAATGAACAAAATTTTCATCTGCTTATCGTAGTGCCGTTACTGGGTCCCTATCATGGGTCCTATAATGCACTTACCACTCACTTCTGTTGTCCTACTCTACCATCCCATTTTTTTGAATGAAACATACTGCATAGTCAAAGTAGCATCGTAGATACCGAATGTGCTAGGGTTCTGATCGGTAGGCGGCTCTTCCTCTCTTGGATGCGATGGAAATTTTGGACTACAAATTCATAACTCCTGTTTACGATGGGAATACTTCATACGGAGTCTGGTCCTACTACCTGCCATGAGTATTCCCATCCTCTCCCCCGTACTCCCACCAAATTTGAACTCTCTAGGTCAACGGAAACAGGAGTTATGAATTTCCGGTCAAGCACACACCGACACACGCACACACACACATACACCGACACACCAGCAGACACACTTAGCGAATTATATGAAGTAGGATCATCAACACAGTTAGGTGCATACAACTCAAAAATAAATTCAATGATACAAGTTCTCATTTGAAGAGTCTTGGAAACATTACCATATGTATTACATAGTTGATGGGACCAAAAAGTTATTCATTTACAAGTTTTACGAATAGTTGCGCATATATTTCTCTCCATGTTTCTCAACTTTACCTTCACTGAATTTATATTCTTCTGTATTTATATGGCTTCATCTTGGAAACGACTTTATTACTTCATTAGGCACTTACATATAAGCACTTTTACAGTCTTCTGTTATTCTTTTCAGTTGATAATTTTTTACTTGCTGCATATCCATATGCGAGCAGCATAATGATCATGGACTTTTAAGGACTTTCCACACCTGGTCAGTGCTCTCCAGTATTGAGGTCACCCGTGCCAAGTGACTTCAATCGTACTGAGTTTTCAACACCCACATACGGTCAGCTATTGGCTTTAGTGGAACAATTTTGCACGTAGACAGGGAACGACCTTGATCAGGTGTGAAAATTTGAAAATCCACTACCTTCCCCATATCTTCACTAATCAAGTAAGAGGTGAAAAAACTGCAAGGATGACATGGATAGCAAAACCGAATGTTCAAAAAAAAATGAAATTTCTCGAAGAAATGGAATTATTAAGCTATCAGTTCTACTAATTATCGGGTGAAAAATCAGTTAAGTGTATGGTAACTAGGCAATGATTACTTAAAATCTAGATACTGACAGCACTGAATCCACTGGAGCAAGTTCGTTCTCGTCAAGTTCATTGAAAGACAGGAAGAAGGAAGACTCTACTTACTACATTGGATTGCTACGTTTCCATTAAAAATAGCGGTGACTTCGCCTTATGTAGACTTCGGAGATTAGCTGATTATTTGGATGCTCCAACCGTTTTATTGAGATAGATGTTCGGTGAAAACGTCTGCTGACCTCTGTCAATTTGATTCGTTTATCTTTTTGCATTATGTATCGGTACACAACATTCCCCATCGAATGCTTCAGCTGGAGAAAGATAGCCCTCACAAGAATGAGGGGAAAGGATGCTATCAAATATTCCGAGTACAAATGAGAAAAGGGAAGCCTAGACGTTCAGCAAGTATAAAGTCACGAATAAAGAGGAGCAGGGAATACAGAAATCGCATCATACAGGAGAAATTAATACTTCTCCATATTTGGCCTTTCTTCTATAAAAACAGCAAACTTCTTGAATGCTTTTTATGAAACTTCAATTCGCAACACTTTCTGAACTTCTTCTTGCCGGATTATCCTGCTGGTCTCTGTGATCACCAATTTCATAGAAGGGTGTAAGTCGCATACTGTCAGGATTAGAGAAAAAAGTTACGTTGGACCGTGCTAATGTGCAATGGGATTGAACACAGATTTTTACGCTATTTCGGAGTTTATATGTATGCATAACTGATAGCATTCATGCTGATAAGGGAACATGATAGTGCTAACTATTAGGCTCCTTTTCTCCTTTGTCAATTGAGGAGCATGCGCGGAAACCTTGATGACCTTTGAGTCTTCCCACTTGAACAAGGTCGTTTTCCAGTCATGTAGGTGTGAAGGGCTTCTAATAAATCTCTTCGTGAAATCAGAGACTGGATGAGTTTGACGCGTTGCCCAAGGCAGAGATTGGTTTTTATGGGTGGCTTCTAGGTGCCAATTAAAGTCTATGTGCCCCCACTGGCAATGCGACTTGTGCGACGAGCGTTGAGGCTCTGTTGACAACACCGACCAATCGATACCGCATGGGTCGGCGATGGATAATTCATTAATCGGATTTTTACTGGTTGTTATCCCCTTTTTCAATTTTTTTAGTACGCGGATTTGATAGTCTCCCCTGGACTTCTATGATTTAGTGTGGCGAAGCTTACCACTATGGAAAAGCTGTCCGCAGCTCTGCCTGAAAAATAACATGCTTCAAAGCAAATACCGTGAGCGGCCGCGACGCTAACTCGGCTTCGACGCTCTGCGCGCTGAACGCTCATCGCTGCACTCTGAAGGCGCCCGCTGCAATGGGTTGCGCTAAACGACCGCATCCATTTTTAGCAAATGACTATCTTGAGCAAAATAACGCAATCACCTGACGCTCAGCGCAGAGCGTCGGAACTTTGCTCTTTTTCCTCTCTTCTTTTTTCTCCGAAATCGAAGTATTTGTCAACAGAGCAGATCAAATTTTTTCCTACAAAAACAAAACTAATTTTATAATTGTATTGATAACTATTACTAACTAGCACCTAACAATACACAGCAAGAAGAGGGAAATTCAAGCGTTGAAGAGGTCAAAAGATGGCACAATTCAAGGGCCGAACTCCTTCGGATTATACATGAGGCTTCTGACGTGACGACGCAGGCTGATTTGAACTGAACCTGATTTACTTTCTCATAAGTACTTTTTGTATATGTTCTTAAAAGGTCACTACGTTCACCTCGCGCCCAAGGTTATAAAGCCTAGAGATAAAAAGCGCAGCAGTATAAAAGGTATTATGGAAGAAATGCATATGACTCAAAACGCTCAGAATGTGGGGATTGACTCAATCACTCACTATCGTAGGTCGAATTCGACTTCACTCAAATCCAAATGGGTAGCATTTCAGAGCTCATTTGGTATTTTATTTTATAATATTTTCATGTGTTTCATTGCATCCGTGAGAATACAGACAGTATGTCGCTTCCATGGGTGAAAGCAATCAGCGAAAGCCCTGCTTTTTTTTGTCTCACCTTTCCCTTTCCAACCCGCCTTCATGAAGGGGGTAAACATTCGACCCGCCAGAAATATGCGACCAGAGAACATTTTCTATTCGCTCGCAGTGACTGCAAACAAAGTCCTACTCTCGGTTTGAATTCTAACTCATCAAATGAAGTAATCTCATCATCATTTCTACGACATTTTGCCATGCCAATTGGAGATTGAGAAATGAAATCACCTACCCGGTCTTGGCTTTGCGATGCAGGAATCTCAGCTGCTACAACATCCACAAGATCAGATATAACTGCATTTACGATCATGTTATCAGCCTATAATGGATAGTTCAGAATGCCTTACAACCACATCATGATGTCCTCAAAGAGAAAACAGTTTCGTAAAAAAGGAAAACAAAAAACGTTTCTTCATGAAAAAGAGTCAATTCTATAGCAGCCGCACCTCTTCCATAAACATGGTGCCCGAAGAGAGATTAGGTGACGAGTCCAAATAGTTCCGGGTTGACATCCTAGAAAGTTCGGGGATAATGTCTCAGTATTAGCCACATCTTTTGATTTCTTTCCGTCCTAAATAACTGCCATATTTACTACATGCACACTTATGTCGTGACTATGGTTAAAATCAATGGCTATCAAAAACTGCATATTGAAGCGGATAGTAACAAAAAATCTGACATCCGTGTGACTCCGATCATATCTTAACCAGTCGTTCGCCCGGGTAACGCCGGGCTTCCCTTCTTCTCCGACAAAGTTTAGTAATGGGCTGATTCTCCACTCCCTCTTTGGAACAAATAATATTTTTCCGGTCACGAACTTTGATACAGGACTAACAGAGCAGTGCAAATGGTATTTAGTGTAAGTCGATGCTAATACCTTTGATTGGACGTGTCGATCTTTTGCTCTCTTTCTTAAGGTATTAGGTCAGTCATAAGTTCTCGGGCATTGATAGTGCTGACTTTTAGAAGTTACAACTTCGCAAAAACTGGCGGTTGTAACCTCTAAAAAACGTGATGTAACGGGCGTGCTTATCAGTTTACTACAATGTGTTTCAAAAGTATGTGCACACCCAACATTTTGTTTTTTTGGGATTACCATTGCTTCCTGTGACCTGTGACCTTCACCATTCAGTTCGTTGTGTGCGATAATCTACGAACACTTTCTCTGAAAAAACATCGTAGCTGCTAACACAATTTTTTATTAAAGAAAAATTTTTTCTTTGTTTCAAAAGTATGTGCGCACTTGGCAAAAGACAAAAATATAACCGAGATCAGAAATCAATAGGGCCTCCTGAATTCCTG